GTCGCGTTTCCCGTTTACGTGCGCCTCCACTTTATTCCCCTCGTCGAGCAGCATCGCCACGCAACTGCTGATTCCGTTGAGCTGGCCCTCCTCGCACAGCTGCTCGATGTAACGCACGTCGATGATCTCGTCGGTCCGGTTGAAAGTGACGGAAGTCATACCGTTGTTGCCGATCCGCATCCCGCTCTGCACGTCGCCTTCCTCCTCCGACGCAGCGCTGTTCTTCTTCCCGTACTTTTCCTTGTAGTAGTTGCCCTTGCTTTTTACGGGGCGATGCTGGGGGCCTGTGAAAGCCTTGAACGACTCGGAGCGATAAAAGCAGCGGTCAAAGGGGACGATGGAGGGCCAGACGGGTGGACGGGAATCCTTTGGCTGAAGCAGGTACGGCGCCTCCGTCCGCGCCCTTTCGATGATGCTTTTGGCGTGGGCCGTGGCGTCTTCTGCCCGATAGCGGTTCATTACCACCACGGTGTGCGCAAGATTGAAGTACTGCCCCGACCCCCCGACGACCATAATGAAGCTAATGTCCTCGGCGGTCTCATTGTGTGCCTTGAAATTCAAAAAGTAGTCCACGCACTCGTAAAGGGTTGTGATGGGCTCGTTGCCGCTGGGGATGAGCTCCGACATGAACTTGTCCCGAATGAGCAAGTTGGTGGCGCAGGTGTCTTCGTCCATCAGCAGCAGCGTGCTGCCCAGCTCGACGCTCTCCATTATGTTGGCGGCCTGTGAGGTGCTACCGCTCGCGTCTTGGGTGGTGAAGCATGTGGTGTCCGCCGCGCCGCGCCCGTCACCCACGGTGGGCAGGTTTCGAATGAAGAGCGAAATGTCGACGGAGGTGACCGGTCTCCGATCCTCCGCACGAATCTTGACGCAGTCCGCGCGCGTCACGCAACAGTATCGTCCGTCCATGGGGTGATAGTTGTACACGCCGTTCTGGATGGCGAGAAGCAGCGTGGACTTTCCGTGAAACCCGCCTCCAGCTATCAACGTCAGTCCTTCTGGCACACCCATCCCCACCACGTTGTCCCCCTTCCCTGTGCCGGTCTGCCCGTCGAGGGAGCATGGGAGCTCAAAAGTCCTTCTCATCGTTGGTGGGGACGCGAAGAGCACCACGTCCTTTTCCCCAGTACCGTCAACCGGCGAGAGGGGTTCCTCGCTGTTTCCCTTTTTTCGTGGTAAAATGGACCCGTCCGCCACAAAACACACCAACCCCTGCTTTTTAATCTCGGTGCGCAGCCACTCCTGATTGACGTTCGCGTTGATGTGCTTGAGCAGCTCCTTTCCCTTTGCCACATAGAGGCGAGTTTCCACCACGTGCAGCACCTCATCGTAGAAAGTGCGGAGCGCCCCTCTTGCGTCGATTCGCCGGCCATGTCCGGGCAACTTTACCTTCATAAAGATGGAAACGTAATCCCTTCCCACATCGGTGGTGGTGGTGTCTGACGTACCAGCGTACAGCGCGCGGCCATTGGTGGGGCTCCAACAGATCTGCACCGCACTTCTAGGAAGAATGTGACAGGAGGGTCTGGCGACGGTGATGTCGCCCTGATAAATGAACTTGTCCCCTCTAGGGCAGGGCGCCCGACCGCTGTTTCTTCTGCGATACACCTCATCCAAACCGTCCCAGAATTCACGCAGCAAAAAGTCTTCCGCCGCCTCCTGTCGAACTGCATTGTAGTAAAAGCGATTGAAAAACTGATTCTGACGGTCGTCTTCGAAATAGTGAATGTTGTACTTGTCTGGACGCATGTGCTTCTCGGACTGGATGAGTCCGATCGCAAACGGGAGGTCCATTTTTATTTCCACCTGACTCCCAGGCGCGTATGGATCGGACTGGACGTGGTGGAACTTTACCTTGACGGTTCTGTTTCGGTCAGAGGTCTCGAGGGAGAACTCCTGTCCGGTGAGTGACTTTAGTCTGCTATAGTTGCCGTTGTCCATCGGGAGCAGAACATCTTCCAAGTACTGCCAATCACGTGACATGATGGCGTGTGTGTGAGATCTATTCTTGACGAGAGGTGGGTAAGATGTTTTTGTATTGCACTGTCACAGCAGAAAAAACACACAACAACAACAAAAAAAAAGACGAAAAATAACCGTAATCATCATTGCATGGAGTCCGTACGTTCCCGCGACGTTAGTTATTCTTCTTGTCCTTGCTGTCAATCACGAGCGTCACCGGACCATCCATCACCTGTTCGATATTCATATAGTGCTGGAAGTGACCAGTGGCCACCTTGTCCTCGGCGTATTCCTTCCGCAGCGTATCGCGGAGCGTGTTGAACATTTCTAGCGCGGCTTCCGGGTTCATGGCGTGGTGGAAATCTGGTTTGTTCCCCTTCATCACATGCATGAGCGTAAATTGTGAAATGAGAAGAATTCCGCCGTCGATTTCCTTCACGTTTTTACTCCACATTTTCCCCGCCTCGTCGGCCCAAATACGGACCCCCAGCAGTTTTCGAATAATGTACTCCATGTCCTCCTTCGTGTCTTCCCGACTGATGCCCACCAGGACGGACATTCCCTTTTCGACCGAACCCACCACCGCGCCCTCCGACGTCACGGAGCCGCGAAGAATGCGCTGGATCACAGCTTTCATATTTGTTATCCCTATTTTTGAAATGGAGAGGGAAAACAATAAATAGTTTGGATGGAAATAACCATAAACACGCGGAACTAAAGCGACCTTCTCTCATCAATACACACAAACACACAACTATTATTGTATATGAATTCAATTCTATAGATCAATGGTCAAGGTCGCCAGCTCTGCAACATTGGCCTCGCCGGCGGGGTCGGGCTTCTTCTTTTTCTTGACTACCACTACCGGCTGAGAATGGTCCGCCGTCGTGTCGTTCTCTTTCGGACGGCGGGAGGTCTCCACGAAAATGCTGTCCGCCTCGATCTGTGAAAGTATCTGGCAAATAGAAGTGGTGACTGGCTGAGCCGAGAAGGTGGGGAGTCGGTGGGCGACGGTGAGACTGTCGCCAAAGGAAATGACGGAAACGTAACCATCTAGCGCGGTGGTGTACAGGAACTTGGCGTCGTTGCTCCACGCCACGTCGGTGATGCTGCGCATGTGCAGGTCGGTGAAGTCGCTGTGTCTCACAGAGGAGTCGGTGGTGTAGACGATAACGGCGTCGGAGGTCCACGTCGCTAGCACCATGCGGTAATCCGAGGGACCCCACGCACCGGTCTCCTTCTCTGACGCACACTGCGCGCTGCACTTGCCGGCCGGGGTTCCCTGAAGCTGGAGACTGCCGCGACACACCGCCCCCTCATTCTCCTTGGAGTCGGAGCGCTTGCCGTACTGGAGCGGCTCGAGAAAGCACGGTGCCCACCGCACGCCACGGATTTCGTACGTCCCCCGGACCACCAGCCGTCCCGCCACCTTCTCCACCGCGTCTCTTGTGTAGAGGTTGACACAGTGAAACCACTCTCCCTTGTCCTCGTCCGCCTCGCCTTCACCCTCCGAGAACGCGTCTTCCTCCTCCTCGCAGACCACCGGCCTCTCCACCGGCGCATCGTTTTTCTTTGCGTCAATCGCATCAAAAATGGACTTCACGGAGACCTGCTTCTTGTCGCTAATCTTCCCATAAGGCACCGCCAGGAGGGAGCCGTCCGGGGACCACGCGGGTCGACGGAAGGAGAGGGAGCACGATTCACCAATGTAGTCTCCATCACACTTCTTTTTCTGTACGAGAACCGACCCCACGTCGCGAGGCATCCGGACGGTGCACGTGCGTGTAGCACAGCAGGGAGGGGCCGGCACCGAAGCTGGTCACGATCCGGTTCCAGGGGTCCCACGCCACGCCGCGGCAGAACTTACTGTGCACCTCCGACAGTTGCGCCGCTGGGTAGGAGGAGCTGTCGAGGTTGTGCACCACAACACTGCCGTCGCTTCCGGCGCTTATCAAGTAGCGGGAATCGGACGAGAAACACACGTCATACACGTCGTGAATGTGACCGGAGAGGTGACGAAAGTCTTTCCAAACTTCGGAAGACTTTTCGCTCGCATCCCTCCACCACAGGCAAATCTTGCCGTCGCAGTGACACGACGCCAACATTTCACCCTGCGGGGACCACCTCGCATTGGTGGGCATCCACGACGGCCGCATGGAGCAGACGTGCGTACAGCAGGAGGACATGTCCACCGTGGCATCGGAAAGCCACGCGTCAATGTTGTTTTCATTGAAACTCCAAATGCGCAGATTGGCGTCGCCGCCGGTGGTGGCCACACGGTTTAGTTTATAATTAATGTCTATGCTTGTTATACCCTCGATGAGGCTCCCCTGCATCCCCAGCATTTCCGCCTCCTCGTTTCTTTCGTTGCAGTGCCACAGCAGTTCCAGTGTTCGCACCCGGAGCGGCGAGGCACAACTCTGTTCGATGGCTTCAGAGGTATTCATCGTCAAACGAAAAGAAAAACTATTGAACGGGCTTCGATGAGTGTTGATTTCTTTTTTTTTTTCCTCCTTTGAAACATTAAAGAGGGAGAGTGTATTGTATATCTGAAATCACATGCGTCAATAAAATGAAAGGGACAAAG